GTAAGGCTTCGGCCTCATGGGCTATTGACTCAGAGGCCATGAGGGCGAGAGGAATAATTGTTTTAGTAAAATCCAACTAGTTGGTCAAAAATATCGAGACAAAACAACTTTAGCCAGCAAAACGCGATTCAACCGCCACTGTTTTGGTTTTCAAAGCCGGCTCTTTTCGCTACTAGTGGCCTAGTAGTAGCTCAACCAATCAGAACGCAGCATTGATAATAGACCACTTGTTGGATTTTACTAAATGCAATTGTTATATTCCTAAACTTTCACTCAACTAAACAGGGACTGCTATCGGTTGATTCTTGGTCATGTGGCCTTGACTAAAATCAAATGTATCCCGATCGTGATACATTAAGCAATGTACCCCGCTCGGGCTACATTACAGCACGTGATCAAAGCATGGTGGAAAGTGGTGTGACAAAAGGCGGGAAAAACACTGCCAGGTCCTGCCTGTTTTCTTTTTCGTGAATGAACACAACAACACAAACACGAAGCCTCAAGCTAAAAAGCAACGATTTTAAAGTTATCCAAGAAGCTCCCAGAAGAAAAACAGCAGCTGGTGGAGGAAAATGATACAGATAATATAAGGAAGGTAATTTGTAAATCATTCATTCAGTGGTTTTGGGAATTAAGTTTCTGTTGTTATAACTACCGAGTCGACTGTTTAGGTTCGCTCCGGTTATTCTTTTGTTGCTGTTGAAGTGAAAGTCTAGAAATATAACAAAACACTTAATGTCAGGTCCCTCGGGAAACCAGTCAGTTTTGTTTTCCCTCGAGTCCTGATGTTTCCCTCGATTTCGTCTGGGGAAACATCAGGACTCTCGGGAAAACAAAACTAACTGTTTCCCTTGGGATCTGACATTAACTGTAGATTATAGCTGTAATTATTATAGATTTTATTTAAACACGTTCGTATCTTGAATGAGTTTTTTAGCTCCTCGAGTAACGTGACTGGTTGATTGAAAACTACTTTGGCCGTCTCTAAAGTTGTAGATGGAATTTGCGTCTCACCCGAAACTGTTAGTTACCCGGATGAGTCCGGACGAAATTTCTAGGACAAGGAATAGCTAGCCTTCCTTTCATTAGAAAATTACTAGCATTAATAAGGTGACAAAAGAAATCCTGATGGCGTATCGTTTCAAAGTTACGCACCTATATCACCACAGGAACCCATTGAATTATTCACGAATTACAGTTCCCCCATTAACGCCAACCAGCCTGGAATTTCATGTCAGTGGTATACCGGGGTTATTCACATGGCTCGAGTATCCCGTGATGTTAGCATGGTGTGACTTTCGACATCGCGTGTCTAAATTTAATTTGGTCACGCTACAACACGTTAATTGATGGCATCTCCGAACTCGTGATCTGTCTACGATGATACGCCCCCAGGTGGTGTGCACACAACGATTGCGATGCACTGTGGATGGAAAATTTCAAGATGGCAGCGAAGGTCGAGAAATTTCGCAGGTTATATGCTTTGTTTTTCAATAGATATAGTTCTTTCCTTAGATCGTTTTGCTCAATTTCATAAGCTAATATTTGCTTAGATTTTTTCTGTGGAGGAAAACAAATTTTTATTCTTCATTTCAATCTAAAACGTGGAGCACGAAGATTCCTCCGGTAAGAGCATGAAATTAATAACCCGGGTTTTTAAGAAGCTATAATTTCCATTGTATTGCTCGTCGAAAGTAGAAGATAGTTTTAAGTGTTTTACAAACCTTGTTCTACGCGAATTTTTTATCGCTCCCCAACGCGCCCCACGTTTCGTGATACTTTTTCCGAATCACAACCGGCGTGTTTTCATTTGAAAATGTAGCCTTGCGAAGACGAATGTGACATGTTACTGGAAGTGTTACTGTTGTAATCACAAGCTAATCACAAAACAGCGGGGCAGCGGAGACTGGTTCCTCCAAACAATAGCATTAGGTGAGGATAAAATGTTCGAAATTGATATATAAATAGGCTGATGAGTACTCTGATGTAGGAATGTCTGTTTTTTATAATAAGACTGAAAAAAAAAAACATAAATGATAAGTTTGATTTTACAGTTTAGCCCTGTGCGTTTTGAAACCAGCTATCCTCTATGAAAAATGATTTTTGGGAGAATTGCAAGAGTAGTGCAGTGTAGAAGAAGAATTTTATAACATCGACCAAGCTTGCACTTTACTTTTATTCAGAGAAATATGCACATCACTCTTGAGAAAACAAAATCATTGTAATGACTGAAAAAGACAACAAAAACCCTTTTTAATAGGTGGAACATTCTTAGTGATATACATTGTATGGTGAGATAAGGCACTTCTGGCAATAGATCAGAAAACCCTACACCGTTCTTATTGGCCACCCACAAATTGTAAATTTAAGGTTTTTTGTCTCCCCTCCCCAAGAGAAATTTGATTTCTAATTTCCCTTTTTGCGTCTATATTAAATTAACACTGGAACCCGTGAATATCTATAATTACATTATTGTAACTGATTCTAGAATATTGATGGCCAACTCAAAATCTCCTTAAAAAGGCCAAACCATATAGCAGTTGCAGTACTGTATTACTTGTTAATCTTATTTAATTTATCAGAAAGCAACAGGGATTCTCAGCATATTTGATAGAGATAGGTGGTTCATCTTACACGGGGATGTTTGGTTACAATTGACTGCATTTCAAGAGATGATAGAACAGGTATGAGCTATTTGTATGGAATGGGTTATGTGACATGCATTTTGTGGGTGAAAAGAAAATTCAGGTTAATAAATTTTTTAACCTGAGTAGATTTATTTCCTTTGTCTCTTAACCTTGCATGTAATTATTCATGAACTGGGCTTAATAGAAGGCAAAGAAAACTGAGTAAAGTAGGTTTTAAAAAACTGAATTTAATTTTGCCTACAATACATGACATGTACAAACTATTCAAAAAATGATTTCTTATAAGGTCCATTAAGTGAATTTTCATCTCAATATTGTTTTCAATTCCTCCCTTTATTTTTCAAGCAAACAAAACCCAAAGGTAAAAAAACGTACTTGTACATTGTAGCACTGATCAGAATTCCCTTGACAAAATTTTTTTCCAGGAAGCATCTTAGATGTGAAACATGGTTGCCACAGGCAGAAAATGGTCAGGGAAAAAAATTCTTCAAAGTCAGGAAAAAGTCAAGTCAGGGAAAATTTCAGTCATTGAAAGAAGTCAAGAAAAAGTGAAATTTTAAGACTCTGTGAGGGGATCGAGCGTTGAGTTTATTATCAGGACTAATTTGTGCAATTGGTAATTCAGTTGGTCAGAGAAATTTTACATTTGTCAGGAAATAGTCAGGGAAAAGTCAGGACCAGTCAGGGAATTTCAGAAACCTCTGGCTGTGGCAACCATGTCAAAGTTCCTCTGGTCAACCTTGTTG